TTATGCAAAAGTCGTTAACGAACTTCTTACATTCTTCGCACTCCATATATAGACTAACATATTTAAGTGCGCTGTTGCCCTCAACCACACTTGGAGTGGGGGTCGTCCGTAGGTGGATTTTTGACACGGGTCTTGCCCCGTGTTGAGATTGCGCTGGAACCCCCATTCCCTATACTACTTTCGCGAGCGACTAGCTTCGATGGTTTTTATGTGACTATGGTCATTCATCGCTGCGGGGAGAGGGGGTGGGAGTTTTTCCCTTGCTTCTCGTTTCCCGCAAAGGAGCTAAAATGTGCGAGTCCAGAGAGAACGGGAACGTTTATATAAGAAGCACAGGGTAAGAGAATGCATGCCACGAGAACCCCAGACTCATGCAAATAAGCGTTGATGTGAAAAATCTCGTTTTTTGGGCTTTTGTGCTCGAACATAGCCTTGGTAAAAAGTTGCTTTAAAAATGGATAGCGTGCATTGAATAGCTGAACGGAGGTCAATGGTGTGGATGTGTTAGGTATTGGACTAAGGTTCTGTAAAGGAATTTCGTCGTGATGTGTAATTGACTGAACTAGAAGCGAATTAGTGGCACATTTTGGGTTCAAGCGAGCTTTGGTGTACTCCACTAAGATACTCGCTCAATATTGATGCAAATGGCTTGAAACTTCACAGAGACCCAAAAGAAAACATAAGACGCAAGGTATAAGACCTTTATTTGTATGAATTTTTGAATTTTGTTTATTACTGTAATTTGACGATAAATAAACACTAATAGCCAGCTTGGGCTATCTGTGGGCCTTCCAGTTCTTTCTGTATTTACACTATACTACCATTACTTAAAAATTCCAGTTCTTTCTGTATTTACACTATACTACCATTACTTAAAAACCTTTTTTACACTCGCATTACTTTGACTCCGAAACACTCAGACACTCGTATGTCCATTAAAAGGTCAAATTTTAAAAATTAATTGCCCCAGAAGTCTTATACTTTACATTTTTCAATGGTCAGTAATGCAGCGTCATTAAACTACCCACAATGCACCCGATATACTTACATGCTTATATACCTTGGAAGGTCAGAGTTTATGCATATGTATATTACATATTTTCACTTTTTTATAAAAAAAAGGAATATATTATATCTATTTTATAATATCTAATAGATATCACAAAAGATACATACAGAATCTTTTAGACCTAAAAAGTGAAAACATACATACTGAATATATTTTTTCTTACT